ATAAGCTTTCTTATAAATACAAACGAAACTCCCTTTTTTCGGGAAATCAAATATTCACCCTACAACAATATGGTCTGTTTCGGATTCTTGATCAAATTGGTGACAACGCCTTCAAGCTTGATTTGCCACCTTAGTTAGATATGTATTCGGTGATTAATGACGAGTACTTAAAGTTGTTTGAGCCTTCATTGTTGGACGATGAGGGTGATGACAAAGTAATCTTATAGCATGTTGAAGACTTGAGGTTTGATAGAGAAGAGCCGTTGAAAGAGGATTACATTTTGGAGCGGAAGGTGACTACGACGAGACGCGGGACGAAGGAGTCGTTTCTGATCGGACATCAAGGTCAGGTTCCTAGCAAAGCCAAGTGGTTCAATAGGGAAGGAGGGGCTCGTGAGTTCCCTCAGTTAAAGTTCTAACTTAAACGGGACTTCAAGTTCCTAAAGGGGGAGCCATGATACAGGTGTATCTTTCCTCTACTTCGGGGGCTTAGCGATCCTCATGGGAGCTTTAGGATAGAGACGTGGGTGGAGCCGTTGGTGGCGGTAAAAGAGGTCAAAAGTAGCAAAACAGAAGAATTAGGAAATGGAAGAATCGGCTCTGGTCGGTCGACTGAATGGTTGACACTGGTCGACCAACAAGGCCATACCGATCGACCAATGTTGGTCGACCGAGAATGTGCACGCCTACAGGGTTAAAAACTTCTCTCTAGCCGGTCGACCGAACCAAGCCGGTCGGTCGACCGGATCAGGTTCCTGGGTGAATCTGGATTCCTTTTGATGCATTTTCCAAGTTCTATTGGGCTTGGTTATTTACGAGATTGACATCCGCGTTGTTAGACATATAAATAAGGATTGTTTAGAGTTTCTAAACATCAAAGTGGATTTTAAAGAAAGATTCTAATCAAGAGATTAGGGTTTAGAGAGAATAGAGAGATTGTTCTTTATTCTAATGAGATTGTGATGGAGAGATTCTGTAATCTTTTATTCTTCATAATCTATAGAAAGTATTTTCATTCGCCACTTTAATTTTTGTGTGTTCTTACTATTATCTTCTCAACCCCACCTTTGATAATTTCACGATCAATGGTGCTCGCACGGCGACTCGTACCAGTTAATGACTAATAACTGATCCAATCATCCTATAGAAAACATACATATGATAATAAAAATAGAAGCATATAAAAAAACAAAGAAAGAAAGAACAAATTTTCCATAGTTCAACTTCATAGTTTGATTGCTTCAATGCTTTCTTTAGTTGTTTTGTTTCGCTGTCATCTTCTCTTTAACAGGCAATTCTTCAATCATTAGAATGATTCTCTTCATTGCACTATCATCGTGAGCCTAAACAAAAAAAATTGCATTACTTATTTGGGAACTTTGCACATTCTCAGAGATATTTACCCTTGTTCTTTCCATTCTTGCACAACATAAGGGGTGTTGGAATTTTTGGGAAATTTGCCTTGTTCATACTATATATTTGGATTGGTAACTCATATAACCGTTAAAACAATTGGCTGTTGGAATGTTTGGGAAAAAAAATCCCAATTTGATTGGTATGTTCACCATCACATTAAGAGGTGGAAATTTTTCGTCTTATATGGACGGTTATCTCACTGGGGTCAGTACAATTAAGATTTTCAACTATGTTTCAATCCCAACCAAACACAAGAAACTAGACTCTTACTTTTTCAACTACATTGATTTCTTACTTTTTATTTACAAATCAAATGAGAAAAATTGGTGGGTGTATTTCTAATCCTCCTTTTCCATGTGAAACAAACTAAAAAAAGCCACATTTTAGAAAAGCTACTGAAAGCATGGAACTGATTTTTTAGCATGGTTTTTCATTTACAACATTTTAAGAAACGAACCAGATGGACC